AGCATTAACGACGACCTCATCCCTCATGGACAAACCGTCTACAAGAAGGTTTACTTCTTTGCACTCTCAATCGTTCTCGTTCAATGTCTGTTTTAATAGTGTCCCGTTGACCGTCGCCAATCGATCGCTCTTCGTTGTTACTTTTGCGCAGCCTTGATCTCAGCCAATCCCCATTGTACTCTGTTTATTCCACTTGCAATAGAACCATGGTTAATTCATTGTGTGGAAGAGGTACTGTAATTAGGGTACGTCTCTTGAGGCAGAAGGAGGAGGCATTATCATGAAACTACGTGGATATTCTGTGCGGCGAAAACTGAACACAAAGAATTCAACCGATTATTTAAAATCTCTCAGCCAAATTGCATTTATAATCGGTAGCACCGATTACTTTCATCGAGTCTTTTAACTATCGGATATTGACCGCCTCATTGTCAAAGCTTCCGCATTAATCTAGATTTTGAGTTTGATATTCATAAAGGCAGTTTCTTGGTTAACAATTGCTTTAGGAGGGAAATAGAAAATTAAGAGGAATGATGCATGGCAAAAAGTCAGTTACGAACGTTCCGAAATGAGAGAAAAAAGTCATCTGCTGATAGGAGAATATAAATTTTTTCTGATAATGAATTCCACTCTACTTATCTGCTAAATTGAACAACTTAGGCAGCCCTAAATAGAAATATTTTGGCAACAAATGTCTTTCCACCTGTAAAGATCGATATTCTTTACGATTTACAGAAGTTATAGCATCTGGTAGGTTTTTTCCTTTAATCAGTAATTCGCCCATTAGGGAAGGTGCAAGCCTTGCACACAAAGGTGCAACAATGCAGACATTGAGTACACGTGAGATACCTGCCCCTTCTCAACGTTCTGGAATTCGGAATAACGCCCCTGCTATGGCATTCTGATCACGTGTCCAAACCATCGGAGCCTTAATCCTTCAATTTAAGGATATCTCAGATTGCCGTGTTCTGAAGTTAATTCCGCCAGGCCAACAAACCTTCTCAGAAAAATCATTTCAATGAATGTGCGCGGTTCGCGCTGGTATGAACATAAGTTAAAGAAGTAGTTGGACAATGGTGGAGGTATATAACCATATGTTACTGATCAGCACTTTCTTCACCGTGCTAGTCTGGTTTAATTCTCGAACTGTTGCCTTTGTTTGATGGATTTAAGTTTCTGTTTCTACTTCCAGTTCGCATACATTCATGAAGGCTACCCAAATGCACTCATAGTTCATAGGCCTAATCAGTTACACCCCATCAACCGGACAGATGAGCTTGATGAATTACTTAATCGTTTATTCAAAAATGTCTTATATTGCCTGCTTAGCCAATAATGACTTCAATTTATATCAAAACAAAACAAAACTACTGCTGCCGTGCGAATCCAATGTGCTAATCATCTAAAAGTGACTGAAAAGTTTCGTAGATTACAGGAACTCATTCATCATAGGAGATGTCCCTCTTACGTTATAGAGCGGAAATACGGCCCTACAACATATCGTATTCCTTGCACATTCTAAGCATATTTCATATTGCATACAGATTAGTAATTTCACATATGACTAGAGCAAATGCTTCAGTTACTTAATGGAAAGGAATCCTATGATATAGCCGTTATAGGATCTCATTTTGTCATATCCTATTTCGCAATTGAGTAGATCGTTAACCCTGGAGGTTTAAAGACCCTGATGAAGTCTCCTGCAAAACTTAGTCCCTACCGCTCATTGCTTTGATGCAATCAAACTTTCTTTCGGCTCCTTCGTCACCCGGATAACTGAAGGTGATGCAGACATTTGACCAGCTTAGACAGACCGTGAAAAAGTCGCGATCTGAACCTACTTCAAGCCTTACGGCAGCAGATGGCGTGGCGGCACGACGACGGCTTCCGAGAATCTACGAGACGATACTCTCCTGTCAGGAGAGGAGTAGGTACCTGTTCTGAGGAAAAGACCGACACGCGATGCCACTATAGCACATCAGATAATGTTCCACAGGAAAGATGTCAACAGTGAGAAGTAACGGTCCAAAATTAGGACATCTATATGCCCTAAAGAAAGGTACGGGAGCTAGGTAATGAGGTCGCAAAGTACCGGACTGGATATACTTTGACTCCAGTCAGCAACGTGCCAGGGCTCTGGAATTCTGAGCCTCTGCAGGTGGAAATTTTTCTACTCAGGTGTCGACTCTACGACCGCGATAAAGGCTGGTGTTGTGAAAGACCTTCCTGAATGGAAGCCTGTCATCGAAAGTGTAATAATATTCTGATTAAAATTGCAGCAGACGAAATCATTGGTCTTATTGCAGGTCTATGCACCATATTCAGAAGAATAAATTGAGCTCTTCCTGGAGAAAGTGGAAGATGATCTTTACCAAGTGTTCGATGCCGAATCCGTCATTCTGATGTCAGCGATCTCAATGCGCGTGTCGGAGTAAATATTAGAAAGTGTAAAGAACGGCCCTAGGGACCTTCTCAATAACAGTGTTAAGTTGTTGCACCGTTGTTCAGACAACGCAATGTCCACTATGAACATCTTTTCGAAGCCTCGAAGCGAGCTGCAGTATACGTGGAATATGGAACTTTGGGCAAAGAAGTAAATGATCGATTTGATAACCGCATCGTGCGACTTCTGATACTTTATAATTGATGGTTGCTGTAAGAGAGAGGCAGAGCTGTCAACCGACCATCATCCTGCAATCGCCACTACCCACTGCAAACGACCAAGTTCTAGCAAAAATCTGTTGCCAGATGCAACCAAAAAATTAAATGGGAAACAATATCTTCTGCGTATCTGAGGTCAAAACTTGTGAACAATTTCGCAATACAAATTGAGCAGTTCCAAATAATGACGCCTGATGAAGAAACTGAGTAAAAGCTCTCTAATAGCCACTTGCTCAAGGCTGGTGCCTATTGCTGTGGTTTAAAAGGGGCGTGCCTGCTGCTTGGCAGTCAGAAGCGAGCTTCCTGGTTGACATCAAAACTTCGGCTATGTGTCAGCGAGAATAAAGCTACATTCAATAGGTGGCTTGAAACCAGAGCCTTCAGTTCGAATGAGGTACGAAGAAGAGCGTGAGGTGGCAGGAAAACCAACGGACAAGTCTAAAACTGATTCCTAGGAAAAGTTCTATGAGGTCTAATTTTCA